GAGGTATTTGTTTTGTTATTTCCTTTTTAATAGGCAAAAATTGACTATATTTATGGGATAAAATGTGATTCTCTGGTCTGTGTAAATATTGGTGAAAGATTCAGCCAAGAAAATTAGCATATTCATTACATCACTAGCTTTTTTTCTTTTTTTTCTTTTTTTTTTAACCTTCGAGAGAGCGTTGCGAATCTCATGTTTCCTAGTTTTTGCAGTGCACAATGCATTGTCGTTGACTGGTGGCTGTCTAGCACAAGCCTTGTGAACCATCCTAGAAGTTACCAGCTCCTGGTTCACAGTTCACAGTCCTCCTGGGACTAAGTAATACTGCGGAGAGCTTTGTGGGAGTGTGGGGGCAGTGTGATCCCCAGGTGTGTAGCTGATGGCTTGGGGAACTGCAGAATCCCTTCTGAACACTGTTGGGATGCTTGGGTGTGATTTTGAGTAGGTTCCTGCGGAGCTTTGTGATCCTGAATGACAAATTTAGTGGCAGACCAGATGCTTCCCATTCCGCTGGACATATGCATAGTTTAAATTCTGCTGCTCAGTTCCATCACTCACCAGTGTTATACCTAGCAATCCTGAACTCAAGAATACCCGAGGAGCCAGCACAGTGGCCTAGTGGCTAAATCCTCGACTCATGCACACCGGGATTCCAGTGCTAGTTCATGATCTGGCTGTTCCACTTCTCATCCAACTGACTGCTTTCCTCTGGGAAAGCAATAAAGAATGGCTTAAAACCTTGGGACCCTGCACTCGCATGGGAGACCCAGAAGAAATTCCTGGCTCCTGGCTTTGGATCAGCTCACCTTCAGCCATTGTGTCTACTTGGGGAGTGACCCAGCAGATGGAAGATCTTTCTCTTTGTAAAATCTGCCTTTCAATAAAAATAAATAGATCTTTCTACAAACAAAAATTCAGAATTATTAAAAATAAAAGACTACCTAAGAGAACAAAGCCTGGCACGTGAACTGTTAAAATACAAAATCTGGCTGACTGAAATATGACACACTGTCTTCATTTTTATTTCACTGTAATACTGGAGTATATTTTCAGAATTAATAAAAGATAAATTAGAGCATGTTTTTCTCTAGAGTCTTCTTTGCATTTGGAATGTGTAATCTGATGCTTTTTTGTCCACACTGAGGCTCCAGAGGCATGGCTTGTCTTCCAGATAGGGAAGCAGTGCTACACTGAGCGTGTGTGTATGTAATTATGGAGATGAAGAATGAGTTCCTCTCTGCTGATTCTCTCCCCAAGTGACTGCCACTTCTGAAGTTGGGATGGGCTGGAGCTCCAGGATTGGGGTCCAGGAACTCAGTCGTCTTACGTGAATGAAAAGGACCCGGTTACTTGGACCAACATCACTACTGCCTGCCAGGGTCTGAATTAGCAAAAGGCTTGAGTGAGGAACCAAAGCTGGGTTGCCTAGCGACTTTGGTGTGGACTGCAAGTGTCATCTTAACTGCTGCCCCAAAGGCATGCCTCTTCATTTCACCCTAACTTCCATAATTAGCAGAAGTATTGAGTTTCATTTACTTCTTAAACACAAAACAACTGTTTGTACTTGCTTTTAAAGTGAAGGAAAATGTTGGAATTAGATCAATTCTGTTTAGAGTAACTATTTCTGTGATATTTGTTAGTGTTGTGGTTTCCCTATGAGTCATGTTTAGTTTTTTTTGTGTCATGTTGTACTGTAACTTAAATTTGTCACGTTATACTGTTACTTCAAATGCCTTTGCTCATTTGGTCATTATAAAGATAAACTCGAGATCATGTCACTTTGTAAGATTTGAAATAATGAATTTTGTATTCCTGAGGATAGTAGGGGACACTACCCTCAGGTCCGTAAATGTAAATTGGGAGTACAGGCCCATCCATCTTAAGTCTTCAATCTCTGCATGCTGATATTTATGTATTCATATCCACAACAGCTTCATACATGATAGCCGAAGGGTGAGAGCAGCTCAGATGTCCAAATGATTAGATAAACAAAATGTGGCATGAGGGTATGCGGGAGGTGAATAGAATATTTCTCTTTGAAAAGGAATGCCATGTTGTTAGTAAGCCTTGAGGGCGTGATCCCAAGTAAACCCACCCAGTTACATACAGACAAATGCTGTGTGACTTCATGCGCACAAAGTGTCTGGAGTTGATGATGTGTGATGTCACTGAAAGGTCAGGTCTGGGATGGAGTGTTAGACGGTGAACCAAGTTGAAGATTTTCCTGTGCATTGTTCAGTGTGCCATTTCCAATATGTCAGAAAGCTTTCTGCAGTGCCCTGCCTGTAACTTCCACACCAAGGCCTTCTGGAGACTTCTGTAGGAATCTTCTTCAGAAACCAGTGAGTTGCAAGCCATTCATTTAAGGGAGTAAATTTTTTTTTTTTTTTGGTCTTGTTGGTTTTCAGTTATAGAATGTGACTTTGTTAGATATTTTTGCAAAGTCATCATTCCTGGAGATTGATATTATGAACGGAATGATGGGATTAATGGAAGCGTATTTGATAATCTTGCAAGATGTTGAGCTTTGGTTCAATATAAAGTACAACACTTATTAGTAGTCAAAGTCAGGGCCAGTGCCATGACATAATGTTACTTCTCACCTGTGGAGCCAGCATGCTGTATGGGCACCAGAGTGTGTCCCAGCTGCTCCACTTTATGATCCATCTCCCTGCTTATGGCCGGGGAAAGCAGTCTTTGGGAGATCCGAAAGCTCCTGGCTCCCAGGTTCGCACCATCCCGGCTCTATCCATGGTGATCAGATACTGACCAGAGTGAGCCAGAGACTGACTCTCCATATCTCTCTAATTTTCACTTTTAGGTAAAATAAGTAAAATCTTACAAAAAAAAAAAAAAAGGATAGAAGTCACCTTTGTTGGTTTGGCCAATCTGCCTTAAGCTTTTCGCAGAAGCCAAAGAATCCTTTGCTAAAGTCAGTTTCCTCCAAGTTCTCACGAGCTCTCTGAGTAGATGTTACCTGGATCATATTTGAGGTCTTCAGGAGGCTCATGGAAAATATGTGTTATGAAAAAAAAATGCATGTGGACTTCAAAATATCTTTGCACCAAAGCAAATATGTCTTTTTACTGTTGATTGAGAGTTAGAGGCGGCGCGAAATGTGCATGAGGACGCGCGTGCGTAAACACCATCCTTTTGTGAGAGAGTGAGAGCGCGGAGAGGAGAGAGCGAGAGCAGTAGGTGGTGGGGGTGAGACACTCACACACTCATAATGTTCTCTATGTCTGTATCCTCATCAGCCAGCTATCAGAAATATCAAATCACTGACGGGATTGGGCTGCAGGCGGAGCTGGCCGGCCGCGGAGGGGGTGGAAAAGCTCAGACTTCTTAGTACAGGCTTTAATATGGGGCGGTCGGGGGGGGGTCGGGGGGGGGAACGGTTCATGGGGGGAGGGGGTCCTTCTGCCGATGGGGGTCAAGTGAACAGGGGGGGGGGGGGGGGGGACTGAAGGGACGCGGCCCATCTGTAATTGGGGGGGCAGGTTTAAATGCCAGTAAAAATGTAGGGTGTGGCCCAGGAGGTGTCAGGGGGGTCATTCCTCTGGTAATTGGGGTCAAAACAGGGGCGCTGTGAGAAATGGAAGATAAGTCCATGTCCCGGGGAAGGGGGCCAACGTGTAATTGTGGTATGGTATTTTTATGCAGGGGGGGGGGGAACGGGGCAATGATTTTGTAGAATAATTGTTAAATGAAGGTGTTGGGGTTTAGGGAACCCGGCTAAGGAACCGTGGAAGGTGTTAATTGGTATTTTGAAGGAAGGAAAAAATTGAATGGGGGGGGAGAGGATATGGGAGGTAATAGTGTATTTTTAATGAGTGGATGGTAATAGGTTTAGTGGTGTGTGGGGGGTGGGCAAGGTGAGGGGTGGTTGGAGGGGTGTTAGGGTGGTGGGGGGTAAGATGATTGATGGAGAGGATGGGGGGGAGGGGGGTTATGTGGGATAGAAGGGGGGGGGGGGGGGGGGGAGAGGGGGGGGGTGGGTGGGGGGGGGGGGGGAGGGGATGGGGGGGGGGGTGTGAGGGGGGGGGGGGGGGGGGTGGGGGGGGGGGGGGAGGGGGGGGGGGGGGGGGGGGGGGGGGGGGGGGGGGGGGGGGGGGGGGGGGGGGGGGGGGGGGGATGTGGGGGGGGGGGGGTTTTGGGGGGGGGTTATTGTGGTGGGGGGGGGGTGGGGGGTGGGGGGGGGGTGGAAGGGGGATATAGGGGTTGGTGGAGTGTGGGAGGTTATTGTGGTGAATGTGTATGGAATATTTATGGATGAGGGGTGAGTATGGTTATATAGGTAATTTGGGGGAAAGTTGGATGAGTAGGGGAATAGGGGGGGAGTGGAATGATAGATGAGAAGTGAAAAATTATTGGTGGTGGGGGAATAGGATTGGAATAGGGAGAGAGGGAAAAAGAGTGTGGAGGGAGGGAAGTTACTCACATAAGGACAATGGGTGAGGGTGTATTTTTGTGAGAACAACTTCAGTGAGCAGAAGCTGGGAGGGTCCATCAGGACACTGAGGACAGTAATTGTTTTTTTATTATTATTAAAATAAAAGCACTTTATAATTCATTCACCTTTGGGAATTCTCTAGAAGGATATGAGTTAGAGTTTTCAGAATCTGTAAAGTTTGTCTGAGCTGAGGCATAGGCTGAGTGCAGTGCGACTGGGTCTCTGGTTCCTTGGGGTGGCACTGTGCTGTCAGTGCTGTTGGCCTCACGGTGCCAACCTGGGCGGGACCGCAGGTGGGATTCTGCAGCACACCAGCTACATTGCCAGCAGGTTCGGTGCAGCAATCAACTTTGTGCTGCTCTCATGGAATTTTTGATGTTATTTTGTCAATGAATTAAGAAGCTCTGTTTTGAGATAATTTTCTGACTGGCAATTTTGTCGGGTAAACTTTGGTCCCTGATTTCTTTTTCTCCGTGAAGAAATGTAACACTGAATTACTGAAGCTTAAAGGCACGAGATCATGGCCTTCCTCTCCTCTGTACCCCAGGGGGCACCCAGAGATTACCCCGTGCCATCGGAACGTCCTTGGCCAAGGAGCTCATCTTCTCCGCACGTGTGCTGGATGGCCAAGAAGCCAAGGAAGTGGGCTTGATCAGCCACGTCCTGGAGCAGAACCAGGAGGGCGATGCTGCCTACAGGAAGGCCCTGGACCTGGCACGCGAGTTTCTACCTCAGGTGCGTGTGATTCATTTCTCATCACTTCGTGACAGAGGGAGTAAGATGCCATCACCTCATACACCTGAGCCTGGTGACTGTAAAACCAGGGATCCTGCGTTGTGTTAGTATTTAGATTTCTTTTTTTTTTTTTTCAAAATTAAAATTAGGATTCTAATCTTTTGTTAGTAACGAAAATGGAGATGAGAAACATATTGATTTTTGAAACTCGCTTGATTCTCAGGAAGGAGTTGGTCCCTGCATTTGCCACACACACGGGGCGCATAGAGAGGTACACCTGTATTCATTAAGTGCTGCAGCCTGGGAAAATGGTGGCCTCCAGGAAAAACGCTGGCAAGCATGGGACTTAGGAAGGAAATGTAGATAGGGCAAATTGGTCAAAGAATCACCTCAGGGAAAATGACATTTTTTGTGCATTAAGCTGTCTCTCCATTCACTTGTTAGAATCTGTTATTGTATGTGGTATTTAGAGCTTGCCCTGTGTTTTTACTCAGGACCAGTCAATTCAAAATGCAACGTTGATATCACATTTCCTCATCCTTAAACAATATGTTGGGAATTTAAAGTAAGATCAAATAACCAAATTCTGCCTGGGCCATTGTGGCTTTTCTCTAGGGCAGTTAGCAAGTTTGGTCTCCATAGTTTGGTGTCCATATCACACGCTAGTACTTCCTTTTTGCATGGGGATGTAGTTCTTCCCCCCATGACCCAAGCACAATTTCGAATGACTTATTCAAACTTTATCTGTGCTGTGGGAGCCTTGCCGAGGGGATACATCTTTCTTAATCCACATTTGTGGTGGCTAGGTCTCAGTGCTAATGGAACAAAGCTGTGGAGTCCGTGTGTGAAGTGGCTGACACTGGATCTCCAGAGACTCATCTCCAGCTCGAGTTTCTGTCATATCCCCTGGCTAGCGTGGCTGGAGACAGTCTCTGCTCTCCTTTCCCTTGTTCTTAGGGAGCAGCAATGAAGAATGATAAACCTACAACTAACCTGCTGACCTTTGAGAATCTAGAGCTTTGCTGTGTGATGCAGTACTGTGGAATCTGATATGGTTATTACAATTACTGGTTAATTAACAATTTGAAAGGTTCAGTAAAGAAATCTTCTATCCAATGCCCCAGAACCATTGTTGCTGGTACTATGAGCCCAGCAATAGGAATTTCTGGGTTTTACTGAGATGTAAATCATTGTTTGTATAAATAGTAATTAAAAATCTTGTTTATAATTTGCATTTTAGGGACCTGTTGCAATGAGAGTGGCAAAATTAGCAATTAATCAAGGAATGGAGGTAAGCTCCTTAATATTTAAAGCTGTTGTTGGAGTGGATGATGGAAATTTAATTTGAATGAACCACATTGAGTTGTGTACTTGACTTTTCATTGTTCTAAAATGAAACTATTTGAATGTTAATATTACTGAAAGCTATTGAAATTCCTTCTAATTAATCATTGATTTTATTCTGCTGGTAATTATTGCTAATTCACTGTCACAGCCACAGTTAAATAATTCCACCAGTGTCCTGCTGCTTATGACATGCTTCTTAGGTTTTTTTAAGATTCATAATATTTATTTGAAAGACACCAAGAGAGAAATAGAGCTCTGCCATCCTCTGGTTCACTCCCCAAATGCCTGCAGTAGCCTGGTCTGCTTCAGGAATAAGGCCGCATCCTGGAACTTAATCTGAGACTCCCACAATGAGAGTACTTGGATCATCGCCTGCCTACCCAGATGTGCATTGGCAGGAAGCCCAAAACAGGAGCCGAGCAAATACTCAAAGCCAGGCATTTCTGTGTGGGTTGTAGGTATCCCAAGGACCATGTTAACTATTGTATCAAATACCTACCCCCTCAAAAATGCTTATTTTTTTATAGCATTGATATAAGAGATTTATTGGCTAGTAGTTTATAGAAAATACTTTCAAAGTGTGTTCTTAAAATCATTATCATGTTACAGAGAACTTTCAAGGAGGACTTACTAGCTCAAAGCTGAGTCTAACTCTTCGACGTTTAAATTCTCTATGAGCCTTCTGCTAAGAGACAGATAAGCAAGGTGAACCTGTAGGGTGCCTAGGGATTACCCTAGGACGTGACTCCAAAGTCTATGAGAGGGAAAGCAGTGGAGACATCCTGGGTACCCATTTCCTTTGAATTTTTAGCTGCAGTCATTAAATTTTGGTTGAATTAAGGGAAGTTTGGAGAAAGACACTTGTTTGCAGACTGGGGAGTTATTATGTCTTTCTGTGCTAAGGAGAGATTGAAGAGACTGAGTTTGTTAGCAGCAAATGCAGTTTTATGTTTGCCAAGTATTTGGTTGGTCCATGTAAATACTTAGAAAATAGTAACAATAGTAAGTTAGCTACTTTTAAAAAATAATTTTATTTTATTTTTGATGTTGTTTATATATAGTTGACAAGGATGCATGCCCACGAGGACCACTGATTAGGGTGGGGAGGGTCAAGGCATTGTAGGAAGATGGGTGTGAAAAATGCTTCTGATCTTCCTTTTTTTCCCATATCTCCTGTATGTGAGGAAGGGAAAGAAGGATATGGGCGTACTGTCAGCTGACAACTATATCAGCACTCAGGGATGGGCAGTGTCCGCTTGATGTCATTGTAGAAACCCCAATGTGGAGAACAATATTGAGTGGTTTTGATAGTTCTGAGAACTTGTTGATTTTGTTGTTCCATCATTGAGAAAATCCTTCCAAGGTCCATTGGCTGACAGAGTCCACCCCAGTGCATCCACTCACCTAGATACTTGGCTGCCAAAAGACTTTTCCAACCCTTTCTCTTCTCCATCTTCTGACGTGGCACAGAACTTCCTTTGCAAGCCTAAGTGAGCTGACCATCTGGTCCCCATATAAACCTGAGCATGCAGTCCACTGCACAGGCACCAGCAATTGAAGAGGCCCTGTTCTGAAACATGCTTGTGGTCCAAGGTCAGATCACAAATCCTGTGGTCTTCCTCATGGCCAGAGTTTTGTGTCCAGTGGTCCAGATAGAGAATCCCCCAAGAAAACTCACCTGGGGTGATCCCAGACCTAACTTTTGCATGTGCCAGCCAGTGCAGGATCCAGTTCAGTCTGTATCCTACACATCCGCCTGTGTATATGCCGGTGATTATAGAATCTGGTCCGTTCTGTCTCCAACCCCATGTCATATGCAAAGCAGTGGGTGCTATGGCCCACCCTAACCCACCCTGCTACGTATACCAGGGGGAACTGCAGCCTAGCTGGGATGACCCCCACTTCACCCCATCAGTCCCACACCTGCCCCAGTTCTTGTGCATGCCAGTATGTACAGCAGACTAGTCAGGTCCATGCTGCATCCCAACCAGGCTCTCATATACATCTGTGGGTATCGCAACTAATCTCAGCCCTACACATGACCCAGTCCACATGTATTCCAGCGAGTACCACTGCTTTTTCTAGCCTAGTACACCCCCAGCTCTGATCATGCACTCCAGTGGGAAGTGCAGCCCAGCACAGGAGTGCCCACAGCTTTCCTACCAGTCCCACTTCCAGTCCCATATCTTGCACTTTCCAGGGGTAACTATGGCCCACCCTGACACAGTTTGCACCCTGTCCTGGCACTGCCATGGATGCTGCGGTAAAGCCTGGCATGGCTTAACCCAGCTCTCCCCCAAACCCAGTTCGCATACAGGTTAACGATTGTTACAACCCTGCCCAGCTAGGACTGCACTCAGCTCTATGTCTCATGCTCACCAATGGAAACAGTGACCCTGCAGCCCACCAGCAGGTTCACTCCTGGCTAGGCATCTTACATGTGTCTGTGAGTGTTGTGGCCAAGTCTGGCATGGCCCATCTCACCTCAGCATTTGCAGGTGAGTGCTGCAGCCTGGCTCCTCCTAGCCTGCCCCTAGTCCCAACCCTAATGTGAACTGACAGGTGTTATGTCCCAGCTTGGCATGGCCTGCACCCTGTATTGACTCTTGCATCTGCCAGCAGTTGTAAACTGGCCAAGCCCAACCTGCCACCAGACCTGACCCACATGTATGCCGATGGATACTGCAGCCGAGCCTGGCTGGCCTGCCCCCAGCCTCGGTTCTTGTACTCACCAGCCAGAGCTACATCTTAGCAGTTAGCTGCTTCGTAAAGGTTGCTCTTGATGAACCCATTTCATCCTCCTCATATCCCCATTTGGTGAGAAATGGGTCTCTGAAACAGAGTCGTTAAATAACCATCCCCAACTTACACAGCTCCCAGGGTGTCAGGGCAGGGCAGGGTTTGAACCCAGGAAACCTGGCCTGAATTTCCTGTTATTCAACTTGGAATCTGTTGTTCCGTAATGAAGGGTTCTGGTTTGGTGGGGAGCAGGGTTATTCAGTTTGAATTTGTGCTGCATGTATTTTTAAAAGTTAATTTGTTTCTGAAAAGAATTGTGTTTTGCTCCTCAGGTTGATTTAGTCACAGGGTTGGCCATAGAAGAAGCTTGTTATGCCCAGGTATGTAAGAGCATCACAGACTGAAAGGGGATACACCCTTACATGTTTCATAAAGTATAAGTGAATTACTCTCGTGCCCATTGCAGAATCATTACAAACTGGCTCAAGTTGTCTGTGCCATTCTCTTGTTACTAGTTCCTATAACTGATTCAATTCCACAGACTGATGGCAGTATTCTACATAACCTAGAAAGCTCTTGGGATCACTTAGTAGCATTTTTGCTCAGCCATCCCTCTGGGTGTCTGTGATCTTCCATGGGATTTGGACTGGCCCTCGCTTTGGTGTGCAGAGGTGACCGGGTGGGCAGGGAGCGTGAGTCCACCGTGCAGTGCCAGTGGTGGAGGCTGACTGACGACATTTCCTGAAGTTCCAAGCCTTCTCTCCTGCCCACTGAGAGAGCTCACTGAGGAAGTTATGCTTTTTACATATATATAAATCAGTAGGTCTTTCTACACAGGGACAAGCTGTTTTTTTCTTTTTCTTTCTGAAATATACAACTTAGTTTTAGGGCATCTAAAAGAGCAAAATAGTTTTGGCCTACTCTTCCTGAGTGTTAGAAACTACATCAGCTTCTGTTGAAGCATGGCGGTACTGCGACCTAGCAACAGCGTCTCAAGTGTTGCTGTGTGCCCTGTCTCTGTGTAAATCGGTGTGCGTTCTTGACGAGCACACATCCCGAATTAAGTTGATTTCAACACGTAAGCAATTAGCAGCCTCAAAGCACACATAATCCCAAATCCAAGAGAGCATGCAGTGTTCTGTCAGATAATAGTGTAGTTAAAATAAACATCTACACAAAGTCCCAAATATATCAGGAGATGAAATGTGTTACCATGTGTCAAAGAATACTCGGTAAACTTTTAAATATTTTGAATCAAACCAAGGTGAAAATATAACTTTATCAAGATTTGTGTGATGTTTAAAAAAAACAGTGTTTGGAGAGAAATCTGTAGTATTGAATGTAAATAATAGAAAAGAGGTAAGATCTAAGATCAATAAACTTCCACTTTATTATAATGCTATAAATGGAGGAGCAGATTAAATCCAAAGTAAGCCAAAGGAAAGAAACAATATGCATTAGAGCACAAATCAATGAACTGAGATTGGAAATAGGAAAACAATTCAGAAAAATCAACAAAGCCAAAGGTTGTTTCTTGTTAAAGATCTGTAAAATTGACAAGCCTTACCAAGCTAACCAAAGAAAAAGGAGAGAGGAATAAATATCGCTGATACTAGTATAAAACAATACAAGAGAAGCTGCCTTTCCTGATCCCATTAATATTAAAGAAATAATACAGTGAACAGTATTTCACCCACAAATTTGATAACTTGAAGGAAAGGGGCTGTTATTTTCCTTGTTAGATTTAATTATTCGGTTTATTAGAGAGAAAGAAAGTCACTGTAGGACACGGAGAAAACTCCCATCCCCTGGTTTGCTCTCCAGAATGCAGTGAGCGGTGCTGGACCTGGCTGAAGCTGGGAGCAGAGAATTCACTCTAGGTCCTCCAGGTGTGGTGGCAAGGACCCAACCACTATAGCCATCACCTCAAGCTGGGAGCAGAGAATTCACTCTGCGTCTTCCACGTGGTGTCAGGGACCCAACGGCTTTGGCCATGACCTCTGCTGCCTTCCAGGGCTTTAGCAACAAATGGCATCAGAAATGGATCTGAGACTGAAATCCAGGCACTGTCGCCTGGGCTGTGGCATTCCAAGTGGCTTCTTAACTAGTCCAGTAGGACACCATCTTTCCAAGTTCACATGAAGGGAAATATATAATCTCAATAGTCTTCCTTGGAAAACATGCTGAGATCGGCAATTAACAGCCTTTCAAAACAGTAGATACCAGATAAAAATAGTTTCACCAATGAATTGGTGAAATGATGCCAATTCTGGATCTGTAGATCCAGAAAATGTATCTGACCGATTCCCACACTTAATCATGATGCAGACGCCGCATAAGAAGAGAGATATTTCTTCAACTTTATGAGAATTGTCTAGCAAAACTCTGCTCAGCACTTTATTGATTAGGTACAAAGCACAAGGGTGTTTCTTCTCACAGTGCCTTTCAAGCATCCTGTGACTCTTTGTCAATGTGGGAAGCCCCCAACCCAAAAAGAAAAAGCAACCCAGCAAAAGTCTTATAACAAGATTACATGAAACAAGGTTAATACACAAAAATCAATTTTTTTCCATGTTTACCAGCAGTAAAGAACTGGAATTTTAAATTAAAAGGCCAATGCCACTTTCATTAGCACACAAACAGTGAAAAACTTGGGTGTGAAATATAAGATCTACAAGAGGAAACTACAAAATTCTAGTGAAAGAAACAAGAATTAAGTAAGCGGAACAACATAGGGCATGCTTATGGAGAGGAACCCTCCCTTTTGTTGAGAAGTCAGTCCCAGTTTGACCTACACAGTTACTAGAATCACATAAATATCCAAATGAATTGCTTTGTGGATATTAACCAACCAACTGCAAATTCTTATCCGTATTCTGAGATTCAGAATAAGCAATGTTGTAATACAGAAGAAAAAAGTTGAAAGACTGACACAACTTGACTTCAAAGACTTATAAATCTGCAGAAATCAAATAGTGTAGTTTTTGGTGAAAGCAAAGATAAATAGACCAATGGGGCAGAATCGAGAGCCCTAGAAGAGACTCACGTAAATAGATTCAAGTGATAATTGACAAAGCAGCCAGCTGAGGTCATTGGAGAGAGGATAGTCTTGAAGGTGTGTGATGGGAAACATCTGAACAGACACATGTAAGAACCATTGACGAACATGAATCTGCGTTTTCCCAAGACTGAACTCATAAAATTAAACTCTTATAACTCACAGGACAATTGGCAGTGACGTAAGGTTTGGGTTGACCTTTCAGGTAGTTTTTAATTCCATTCCCCATTCACTTTTTGTAGTAGCACAGATGGCAAGTAATCATTTGAAATAATGTCAGTAACATGTCAGTAAGCAATAGCAAATGGAGCCGTAAGGTGAAGGTTGCATTCAGCGAGTGCTGTTGAGGGTGTGGAATGACCGACTTCCCTGCACTGCTACTGTGAATGGCGAGTGGTTCAGCCACTTCAGAGGGAAACTTGACAGCTTCTTCGAAAGCTAAATACAATCTCATCATGTGATCCAACAGTCAACTTCCTTGTTATGTACACCTAAATGAATTCAAAGCATCATGCAGAAACCTGCACACCAGGCTCTGTTCACACTTGCCAAGACTGGAAGCCAGAAACATATTCTCCTGTAGGTGAATGGATAACCTATGCAGTGAAATGTTTCCTAGTGATAAGACATAGAAGCTGTCTTCCCAAAGACAGGAACAAAACTGGAACACTTTTTACTGTAAGAATTGAGTCCAGTAGGACTGCACACAGTTGGTTCCAAGTCAGTGACAATCTGCTAAAGGCAAAACTGTAGATACAATTTTGAGGGAAAGGACACATGGAACGTAAGGGATATTTGGGGCAGTGTAACTGTTCTGTGTGATTCTGTGATGATGGACATGTGTTATGATTTGTCTGTCAAAACCCATGGGACGTAAAGTAAAGCTCACTGAGAGAACGTTAATGGAAACTACTGATTTTAGTTACTAATGTTTCGGTATTGGTACGCATCTGCAAGATGTTGCTAACAGGGGAAATGGCAAGGTAGGAGGATGTGTGTGGGAACTCTTTTCCACTCAACTTCTTTTGGTAAACTTGAAATTGGTCTGAAAAATAAGTTCTTTTAGTGTTTATCAGTATATTTGAAATAGATGAAAGAGTTATATTTGGAATAGGAATGATCAATTTAATTTCATAATTAGGAGAGTTTTTCACATGTGGCTAGTAGATTTCGTAACTTTAGAATAAGCGTCTGCTTTGCTAGAGAACTTGACCTTTTTTTTTTTTCATCTTTGGATTATGTCATATAATGTTCTGTTTTTCTTAGATCATTCCAACAAAAGACAGAGTTGAAGGGCTTCTTGCTTTTAAAGAGAAGAGGCCCCCTCGTTATAAAGGAGAATAATAGAAGAAAGAAGAATTATGAAAATGCCACTGTAATACACGTGCTTCTGGAAGTATCTTTCAGACCCACTCTGTGGCTCAGCACATGGCATCTCAATGACCAAAGTGAAGAATGAGTAACTCGTGTAATATATGAAACACCTGGAATGGACACATGTGTGGGTTTCATTCTAATGTGTATTATTTCATCCTCATTCAGATTTATAAAGCTAGTAGTGTATATTGTCAAAAACAGACTCAAAATAGATACACATTTTTAAATATTTCCTGCTTATGAGACTTTCTGTTCTTGATTTTTTTAAATGTGAATAATTTATATATTGCACATTCTAGGGAACAATACTGACTGTATGTCTACTGTGCTGCATTAAGAAAATAAAATTATTTCTGTATACCAAAACTGAAGTTATACCAAATAAAGTTTCTCAGTGATTACATACATATGAACAAACAGATCTATACATCTCAACCTGAAACGTGAATTGCATAAATATTCTGAGCGAAAACTACCTAATACAAATAAAATTAGTGGAAAACAAAAACTTGGGAATTTTTTCTTTTACCCCATATATATATATATATATATTTTTCAAACTGGGTAAGTTGTTGCACATTGTGTTTTAAAAGGCACATTCCCACGCTGATTCTATCAGACAACCTCTTTACATCGTCCTAGAATACACAATTGAAGGTGGAAAATTAATGTAGTCGGGCCCGACACAGTGGCCTAGCGGCTAAAGTCCTCGCCTTGAGCGCGCTGGGATCCCATATGGGCGCCGGTTCTAATCCCGGCAGCTCCACTTCCCATCCAGCTCCCTGCTTGTGGCCTGGGAAAGCAGTCAAGGACGGCCCAAAGCCTTGGGACCCTGCACCCGCGTGGGAGACCCGGAAGAAGTTCCTGGATCCTGGCTTCGGATTGGCATAGCATCGGCCACTGCACTCACTTGGGGAGTGAATCATTGGACGGGAGATCTTCCTCTCTGTCTCTCCTCCTCTCTGTATATCTGACTTTCCAATAAATAAATAAATCTTAAAAAAAAAAAAAGAAAAGAAAATTAATGCAGTCAGAGATGTCCAAATTGCTTGTGAAGTCCCTGGCCTTAGATACCATTGTGCTTCTAGTGCCTTCTCCCAGCTTGTAGCCTGGCTTCCTGGCCTCACCAAAGCCAAGCTAATTCACAAAGACAGAATACGGGATAAGTGTGGCTGGACCGCTGGTCAGCATCCTGGATGAAGAACAAAGTGGAGACTGTTCTGTACTTCCTCGCCTGCAGCTGATTGCATCCCATCGAAAGCAAAGGGGGTCAACCCAAGAACCCCGTGTCCTCCACTGAACACACCTGCCCCCTGCACAGGCCAGAAGCTCTGCAGTGTTTGAAGGTTCTGCAGCCAGGATGCGGACACGGGATATAGAAAGGAAGGAGAGCATTGTCATACTCTCAGTGAACTTGAGGGTATTTTATCCAACTGAACCGCTTCTGAGCCTGGCGCCACTGGTGAGCCGGGGAGTGCTGGCTTCAGGACCTGTGCATGGCATGTATACGGCCTGGACACCACCGCAGGCAACTTCCTGCCCTGTGGCCCAGTGCCTCCCTCAAGAATCCCCTTCTCCTCTGGCTGTGGACATCCTTGTCTTAGGGACCTCCTTGGAACCTCCTGCTTTAGTGTGGGAAACTGAAGCATGAATCGCAATCCTTGAATTCCTAGGAGAGACAAGCCGGAACCCGCTGTCAGCTGCTGTTTCTCCTGCCAAGGTGGACAGCCGTCTGCGATGCGCATGCGTCCAGGTAAGCATCACCCCCGATGCAGAGTCTATGCAGATTTGTGACAATTGCTCAGCTGATGAGAGTAATACACAACGGACTTCTCAAAATGCATGTTAGTCCTCCTGGTAATTATCCCGGGTGACCTGCACACTTGTTTACTGTTAAACTTGCTAAGCTGTTCTTTTCAGGTGTGGTAATTTGCAGATCAAATGCTGGTGCTTGTTTTTACAGTCAAAAGGTTTCAGGGCTAGTTTGTCCCCTTGGTGACATGCTAAAACGCCACTTCCATTTTTACTGAGTAGGAAATAATTATGTTAATGGCGAAAACATTATTGAGTGTCTAAATGACTGCTTGCGTATTGTGTGTTCCTAGTCTAATCTGCTATGGCTGATTGCCATTTAACTTCTAGCAAATGCTTACTAAGTCACTGGAGTATGTGAGGGTACTTTTAAAAAGTTCATGGAATTAGGAAATAAGTTTGTTTTGGTGTAAGCAATTTTGAAGTCCTTGCATAGTCTTTTTATAACATGCATTTTCCATGAATTTTTTTGAAGACCTCTAGTTCACAGATTTCAAAATTGGCAAATGGGGAGCAGGCTTTTGTCTCAGCAGTAAAGTCGCTGCTTAAAACACCCACATTCTGTATAGGAGCGCCTGGTTTGAGTCCTGGCTACTTTACTTCTCATCTGGTTTTCTGAACTGGAGTATCGGTAGGTGGATAAAGCACTTAGGGAACTGCCTATTCCTATGCGAGACTTGGATTGAACTCCTGGTTCTTGGCTGTGACTTGTGTCCAGCCTTGGCTCTTCTGGGCATTTGGGAAATGAACCAGTGGATGGTTCATTATCCCTTTCCCAATTCCCTTACCCTTCAAATGAAAAATAAAATTTAAAAATATTTTTGCCTCATAATGAATCCTTACATTTTCGTGCTCTCATATCTGAAAGCAGAGTCTCGTAGTGATTTCAGATATTGTAGACTTGATACATCATTGCAAGGGAAGTGTCCATTCTCTGTACAAATGTTTGCTTTTCCCTTGATTTTTTTTTTAAATCAACTCCATGTTCTGGGCCTTTTTAAAAGTTCATTCATTTTGATCTCTCTTATTTGATAGTCATCTTCCACCCACCAATCCACTGCCTACAACAAGCATGGTTGGGCCAGACCAAAACTTCTGGAACCCAGAACTCAGTTGGAGACCCAAGTACCAGAGCCATCCCTTGTTGCCTCGTGGGGTACACATTAGCAAGAAGCAGGGTCAGAGAGGAATTGCCCAGACTGAAATGAGGCGCCTGGTACAGGATGCAGCATCCTGAGTAACAACTTAACTACTTGCACCCAACACCCACCGCTCACTTGATTTCTTTTCAGTAGAGTAATCTAGGTGATGATGACTTAAGTCCCCCCTTAACTTGCAGTTTCATTTTGCAAATTTTAGTTACCGTGGTTAACTCATATTCCAAAAACTTTAAGTAGAAAGTGCCAGAAGCAGTAAGGTTTCTTTGTTTTGCTTTGTTATAAGATTTTATTTAGTTTTTATTGGAAAAGTAGATTTACAGAGAGAAGGAGAGGTAGAAATATCTGTCTGCTGGTTCACTCCCCACGTGGCCACTTTGGCCAGAGCTGAGCCAGTCTGAAGCCAGGAGGCATGAATCTCTTTTGGGTCCCCCTAAAGGGTGCACCGTCCCAAGGATTTGGGCTGTCCTCTACTGCTTTCCCAGGCCATAAGCAGGGAGCTGGATGGGAAGTGGAGTAGCCAGGACACAAACCAGTGGCCATGTGGATTCCCAGCAATTGCAAGGTGAGGATTTAGGCACTATGCCACTGCACTGAGCCCAGCATTGAGTTTTAAACAGCTTGTATTACAGTATATTGCTGTTACTGTTTTTGTTCTTCTCTAATGTGCCCAACTTACTTTGTCAAAGTACGTATTGGATAAAACATAATGTATGGGATTTGGTGCTGTGTGCAATTTTAGGCACAAGAAGGGATGGCTCTGGGGATTGTTCTCACCATCTGGGAAGGGCCCGTGCCACTAGGGGAGGGCTCACATCCTTATCCCTTCGGCCTTCCTGCTCCCACATTTAGCAGTGTGAGTGTATGCTCAATCCAGGCCCCACCAGGGTGCCGCAGGCTGCCTATGTCTCGGGTGCAGCCTGCGTTTAGATGAGGTCCCAGAAGAAACTCAGGAAGGCTGGCTCATCACTCCAGGTTTCAGCTCAGAGGACACAAACAAAGAAAATCACTTGACTGGGAGCTCTAGAGCTGCTGGTTCTGACGTCTTTGTTGCTGGTTAATGTGTAACTTCCCCGTGAAAGGGAAAGAGTGTTCTAAGGCACTCAAGTTTGAGGTGAGGGAGGAGCTCTGATAATGGCCCCAGTAGGAACTGAAGTTTCCATGATCCATTTCGCTGACTTTCAAAGATCATCTTCATTGGATTTGTTTTTCAAACTGAAGGAGCTGATTTTTGCATCCGTGGAGTCATTTGTTTTCTCTGCTAGCCATCAGAGGCACCAAGTGTTGCTTTCCTACCAGCTTCATGCTTGGGCCACGGTAGTGGAGTGTCAGTTCATGAAGCAACGCTTACTGAAATGCGTGTTTTCATAATAGGTTGGTAGCTGCCTGGCAAGTGGTGCTTTTCCTCCCTTGTCCTAAATTTCCACTTATGGTTGTGTGCCCTACGTTTGTTCTTATTTGAGGTACAAAGGTCCTGGCAGGCAGACACATTAAAAGAGTTAATCATGCCATTATTTGTCTGCCAGCCTGCTTAAATATTAACTAACGTATATGTCAGTGTTCATTGGCTTTACCAGATCACAGTACAAGTTTTTGTGTCACAGTCGATTGAAAAATAACTGTATGATTGGTATGCATGTGTTTTAAAAATGCATAAAGCTTGCTAAATTTATTACTTAGTGGCTGATATTTTTTGTAAATGCACAATAGCTGTAGGATGGAATCAGGAATTAAGCTTAGAGCAGTTGACCTTTTCATTACTGTTAAGCTTGCTAACAGCCAAACAGCATAACCAAAGGCTGCTAGGTATGTTTTGCCCACAGTGTTCTTTGTCCTGAGTTCAGCAATGTCCTCGTGACCTGGGAAGATATGGGATACTTATCAATGAATCTGATGATACAGGCAAGCAGGATGACAGTCGCAGTTAACAGAGACTCCATGCTGCCTCGGTGCCAAATATTATCCATACTTTCACACACTTAATACAAAAACCTTGGGAAGTAGGTTCACGACACTGAGGCTGAGAGCAGGACTCGTGCTAGCCATTCTGTGTTCAGGGTGTCAATGATCAATGATTGCACCGCCAAATACGCAGAGCTGGTATTGGTGGGACTAAGTGGTGCATCAAGTGTGTCAAGATCCTGGTAGCAGTGGATATGACCTTGCAGTACGGGTCTCTTTAAACCGTGCTACCCAGGGTCTAGAGGAATTGCAGCTTGAAGATACTTGTCAAAAGGAGCAGTAAGCCACATGAGCCATGAGCATCATGGGCATCATTCAGTGAGGGGGACAGATGTGTTGTTCTCTGTTGGCCCTAGTCAGACTAGAGTACTCTACCCAGTTCTCAACATCCCAGTGCCAGGTGGTCATGGATTCCCCCTTGTTTCCTTGTAAGCA